TACCTTCTCTATAATTAATTTTAACTTTCCGAATTAAATTCTTAGATTGACTTAAAAAGAGTTAGTAATTTTTTATAATTAATTAAAAATGGGTTAGTTATTATTTTCGAATAAAGAATCGTATGAAGAAAAGCAAACTTCACCAGAAAGCCGTACGAGCGAGTGACATAATAGTGCAAGTTACGTAGAACTGGTACTGGTAATAGAGATATAATAAATACAAAAAATTCTCAATATACGTAGGCTATTTAGAAAGTAACTTACGTTTTGGAATTAAAAAAGAATAAATGAACGTAAACGTTTTTATTACTTACATTTGAAAGGCACATTATTCAACTATTTTTCTACATAATCTCCGAATAAATTCAGACACGTATCCTAACAGTACACGAGTGTACTAGTTCCATCGTCACAGAATGTTCCGGCATGAGATTTCAACCATGTATGAACGCCTGCCTGCAGTTCTTCATCATCGTCAGAGTGCTGTGATGAGAGCCAAGTGTTCATGTATGGGAACAAGTGAAAACTGTTAGGAGCAACTTCTGGACTGTACGGTGGATGACTGAATAACTCCCGTCAGAAACCATCCAAGAGCCGTCGATTTTGAATGTCTGTGTGGGGGCGTGCATTGTCATGAATGAAAAAAACCTTGGAACCCAATTTTTCTCGAGGCTTCTTTTGTATCGCTCTTCTTAAATTCTTTAATATTTTGCAATATCTCTCAATATTTATTGTTTCACAGACAAATCACGAACTTAACCCAGGTCTCGTCTCCTGTTATGACACAATCGAGAAGTGATTCACTATGTTCGTGGTACGCCTCGAAAAATGTCGAAGCTGCTGCCATGCGTTGCTTTTTGTGGTGTTCTGAAAAGATTTTCAGTATCCGGCACAAAACTTGTGATAGCCTAGATTTTGCGTCAAAACGCCAAGGAACAAAGGTCGTAAAATTTGAGGAAACTCTAATAAGAGCTCCAAAATTGTGAAGCAGCGGTTTTCAGGAATCATTTTGTTGATTTTTCTCTAGCAGTTCAGCATTAGAAATGCTTAGCCAGCCACTTCGTGCTTCTTCATGAGCATTAGTGTAGCCATTTTCAAACATAATGCACAATGTTTCAATTATGCATAATGTTTGAAAATTTATGCATAATGTATAATGTTTGAAATATGTCAAATTTATGCATAATGTTGAAAATATGTCACTGGACATAGTGAGTGAAGTCTCACTCCGGCTTCACTCATTAAGTCGTTTGCATACGCCGTAAAAGGTTCCCGATAAATTTCAGTTGGTCTCATTTTTTTCGAACAAAAATTTAATCACTAATCGGACTTCACATTTGGCGGGATTATCTATTGCCGCACACATATCAAACATTCACAATGAACAAAGCAGAGGAAACGCATACTGCCAACTATTACAACCAGATGCGTTAGGATTCAGTAGACACTCTAAAGTCAAGCTATGGATGCTAGTGCCATAGCTTGACACCGCGCAGTGACGAAACGTAAGTTACTTTCTGAATAGCCTCGTAGATAACATAGACTATAACTTAATTACAATGGCTATTTTTCACAAATAATTCTCTTAGAGAGGATAGACATAAATCGCTTCTTATTCCTAGCATCACTATAGTCATAATTGTAAATACTGATGGGAGGATTCGAGATAGTGCTCCAGACCGGGCAAGCATAACAGAGCATGGGACGCAAGATAGATTTATGAATGAGTAATTTATAATCAATATATAGAACGCTGTTCCGTGCAGTTTGGGGGTAAGAGTTGAACTTTACGTGTACGAAGCTTTTGGGATAATAGATGCAATGTATAGGGTTCATTTAAGCGTTTTAGTGAGGATCATCTCAAAATAAGGGATTTGCCTAGCCCAGTGCAGAGTTGATCCATAAAACTGCAGATTGCCAGTGATGTTTTTTCTCTGACTGAATATTATAGCTACAGTCTTATCAACATTTATCTGGCTATTCCACGTTATAAGCCAGGTCTCTAGTGCGTGGCTGTGAGATTGTAACCATTGTGTTACTGGGCTAATAGATGCGCTTTATGCAAGGATCGCTGTGTCATCAGCGTGTATCGCTAGTGTGGTGTTTGGTGTGCTTGGAATGTTGTTCACATAAATGTTAAAAAGGGTGATCCCCAAACGCGACCCTTGCGGAACGCCAGCTGAGATAGCAAGACGTGTATAATGTATATTATACGGCAAAGTGTCTAACTGTAAAATAGGATTTAATTATGTGTGTAATGTAACCTGTAAAATCCAGATTGCGAATCTTGTAAAAGATTGCGTCCAGCCACATACAATCGAAAGTCTTACCTATGTTTATCCAAAGTCCACCAATGTCTTTTTTGGTCTGTAGACCCGCAGTGATGTGTTCAAATACTATGTAGAGTTGCTGCGTGGTAGATTGCTTGCTCCTAAATCCAAACTGTTGTGGAATGATGATCTTATTTACCTCCAGTTGATCCTGGATTCTTCTCAGAAGAACTGCTTCAAACAGCTTACTCAATCAGAGCAGCAGACTGATGGGGCTGTACGATGTCGGATCAGAGGCAGGCTTTCCAGATTTTAGAATCGGCGTAATGGATGCTGTTTTCCAGTCATTGGAGGAATACTGCCAGCGAAGAATGATGTTAAATATCTTGGTCACCAGGAAGACTATCTTGATAGGAAAGAGTTTAATCATCTTTTTGGTGACTTGATCCAAGGCCGCGCTTTTTTTAGTCTTGAGTACTTTTGTATAACTAGGAACTTCCGACTGTCGAACTGGAACAAATGCTGTTAGTGTGTGGGTTTGTATCGTAATTGTTGTAAAAATCAGAAACAGTGTGTTCAGTTGTTGTATAGTGTATGTTGTTTATGTAAAACTAAGATTCCAGAAAACTGAAGTCTCGACCTATGAGCTTCAAATAACTTCTGCCGAAGAAAGTGCCTGAATTATAATTTTGCAATAAAATTCATTATTCTCTTTTTTTCCTCTTTCGCAATGGAATTCCATCCACGTCCAAATTGTATAATGTAAGTAAAATGCATTCAGTTTGCATTTTCAAAATAAAATACGTTTTTAAGGTTTATTTATTATACACTTAACCTCTTTGTCAAACACATCCCATAATCGCGCAGGATAAAACTATACGAGGGCAATCCCAAAAAAAGGTCTCCTATTTCTTGGGGACGTAGAGAAAGTTTTAATACGGTTGTTGGCAACACTGTTGGGAGTGGTGCCTTCTCCGCTACCACATAAGCACGCAGGTGCTTCGCTCGGATGCTCAGTCTTGGCTTGGCAGCCATTCGAAATGGAGCTCCCGATAAACGTTACCGCCAAGTGCGAAGTGTGCGCAGTTATTCGATTTTTGAACGCAAAAGGTGTTAAACCGGTTGAAATTCGCTGCCTATTGGCGGAAGTGTATGGACAGTCGTGCATTGATGTCAAAAACGTTTGCAAGTGGTGTAGAGAGTTTACAGCCGGTCGTACTGAAATTCATGACGAAGAAAGGAGCGGGAGGCCGTTCAAAAATTTTCACCAAATTTGTTACCTCAAGAACTATTTATTACTCGGAAATAACTATCTATATCTCTTTAGTTATTTATGACTCTACAATAATTAAATAATTCCTTTACTCATACTCTCAAATGATGAAAACAAAAGTTACACTTAACTCTCTAAAACGAACAACATCAATGCATGTTGCCATTCTCTGAAACATAAACTGTTACAAAACATAGATAATAATAATATGAATATATAATGAATAAATATACCTATAGAGTAAAGAAAACGATTACGTCTGCTTGAAGCTCGTGCAATATTACTCAGAAGCTGCAGTTAGAAAGAATATAAACAAAAATATTAGAGTCAAAATATTGTTCATCCTCCCACCTTGCAATATGAAATTCGGGATTGAGTATTGCAAAATAATAAAAAATTAAGCATTATTCTCACAAGTCCAATCGATGAGGAACTCTAATTGTCCTCTCTGATTTGGCTATCGTGGGCGATTTTAAATGGGTATGGACTATTCTATTTGTTTCTACAGGTACATCATCAATTGGAGTTTGCTCTGTAAGGATCTTAAGTTTTACTAACGTTTATTTTATTTTAAATCTTTACTATCACTTCTTATTTTCTACTTCCGGCCAGAATTATAAGCGTGAAGGTTTTTATGCAAAGTTTGTCTGGCGAACGCCAAGTATTTAAGTGTGGCCTTTATGCCAAGCGAAAGAGAGGAAGCAGTAAGTCAACGCAGGCCGCTTACCTTAGAAGTTACGCAGTTGCTGTTTGCCTTCCAGGCCAGAGGTTTTAATCCTCTTGATAAATTAAAACGTATTGTAGTGTTCACAGTCTCTGTGCTACATACGTGCTACATTTCCTGTTATTATAAGGCCAATCTTCCACGTGTATTATTCTAGAGTTAAATTAGAGTTTAGTTTTATTTTTTATACTTTTACGTTAGACCCCGAGTGGCGGGTCATTGTATTCCGAAGTACGGAAGTTATTGTATATAGAGAAAAATAAAGGGTTTTGTATACCCTTCGTCTGTATCCTGTCTACTTACTACAATTAGTGAACATAGCTTTAGTAAGCTCTCTGTTCCTAGTCAGGTCCTTGTATGTTCCCGAAGAAGGTTAGAAGGAACATTGAACCTGATAGCTCTACCGAAATATTTTCGCATGGTTGACTTCCACTGAATTTCGAGGGAAGTTCCTCGGCAGTCGATAATTCCAAAGGATAAAGATTTTGTACAGCTCTTATGACTTCTCCATTTTGCACTTCTTATAAGAGGATGATCACTTGGCAAAATAGCAGGAGTTCTGAACTCAAATGTATCTTCGCTTTGAAATATCGCTGTTTTAGTTCTGATGATACCACAATCAATGAATGGATTAAGACTTAAAATCCGTTTATCTTCTATTCCATCAAAGGACTCATTTTGTATTAAACGAATCAAGATATTCTCTGCTTCATTTAACTCAGATACAGTAAGTTCATCCTTTTTTCTTGTTTTGATGTTTACAGTTGTAAACAAAACGACACATCCACGCTACCAGTCTGATTGTCTTACGATAACTTGAGAATCTAGTAGCAACTATTTCACTAGCATTAAGATTTATTAAGGACGAAATAATCCTTTTCTTTTTCTCAAGAGCTATTTCTTCTTCATCAGCACTAAAATCTTCTTTTGGCCATTTTTCAGGTGATAAATATAGCCATTTAGGTCCTTCCCACCATCTGGATTTAATTAAATAAGAAGCAGAGCATCCTCTACTGGGCAAATCAGCAGGATTCAGTGATCCTGGTACGTGCCTCCAGGATTCAATAGAAGTCAGTCGCTTTATTTCCTTAATTCTGTTGTGAACAAATACGTCCCATACTTCATTTCTCTGTATCCAAGCTAGCACAGTAGACGAATCTGTCCAAAAACAAATATCATCAGCTTGAAATTCAGGTATTATGCTGGATGCTAAACGTGCACATATTGTAGCTCCAAGAAGTTCCAATCGAGCTATTGTTGTCTTTTTCCTTCCGCTGGGTGCAACTCTCGCTTTAGCTTGCACCAAATGAACTTGAACCGAATCTCTTGTTTGTACTCGAACAAAGGCCACAGCTGAATATGCAAGTTTACTCGCATCACTGAAGAAATGAAGTGAGATATTTTCAATCTCACGATCACAGTTTAACCATCTTGGTATTCTCATTCTTTCCAGACACTGCAAATCATTCAACCATTTACAAAATTGTGATTTTGAATTTGAATCAACTTCTTGGTCCCAAGATAACTTAACTTCCCATAGGTGCTGCTGAAGTAAAAGTTTCGGCACAAGAGTTACGGGGCAAGCTATTCCTAAAGGGTCGAATATTTTGTGTGTAGTAGCTAAAATCTCTCTTTTAGACAAAATTTCTGGTAGACTTGTAGGTGATGTTAGTAATATTAAGGCAAAGGTAATCTCCACATCGTTCCCAAATCATTCCTAATACATTTGTGGTACTAGAGGAATTATCTGTTGGGTCACTATATTCCCAACCACGTAATTCTAGCTTTCTTGTAGCTAAAGTATCTGAAGCAACTTGTATGAATTGTTGCAATTCTAAATCATTTTTCACACTCGCTAAACAATTATCTACATAAAAGCTCTTCTTCAATTGCTCAATAATATCCACTTTATACTTTGGGTTTCCATTTAGTTGTTTCAAAGTGGATTCTAGAAGATGGTGAATTACAGAAACTAGCAAGAAAGGGCTGCTTGTAACTCCAAATACTACCCTACAATGCCTGTAATACTTCAGTTTTCCATCAGTTCTATACCATAAGAATCTTAGATAGTCTTTATCCTTAGGGTTGAGACTTATTTGTAAGAATGCTTTTCGTATATCTGCAGAAACTCCTATTCTGTTCATTCGGAATCTATGAAGAATTGAAGGAATCAGTTCGATAAGGTTCTGACCTTTTTCTAGACAATCATTGAGACTAGGGGATCCTTTTTGTTTGGCCGAGGCATCAAACACTGGCCTGATTCGTGTAGTACTGTTTTCTTTTACTACGTGTCGATGTGGCAGATAATGGCATGTTACATCAATTTCGCTTTTTGGTACTTCTTCTATGATGCCTTCTTGTTCCCATTCACTAAAAACTTCTCCATAAGCATCATACAGTTTCTCAGCTTTTAGTCGTTTTACTGTAGAAGCTAATCTCTTTACAGCTACGTCCCATACTTCCTTTCTCTGTATCCAAGCTAGCATAGTTATAGTTATCTTTTAACGGTAGATGGTTATCAAGCCATGGCAAGCTGACTTGAAAACGCCCCTCTTCGTTCACCTTTACAGTAGACAAGAAATGATCTCTTGCTTCTTCTTGAAGTTCCAGTTTACTTTTCTTCTCTGATGGATCTAGAATTCCAAGTGAATCTAGAGACCATAGATCGGATATCAATATTTCCTTATTCAATATGGATGTGACGAGCAGTGCGGAATTGTCCGATATCTCACGCATACCATTTTTCCCGAAAAGAGTCCAACCAAGTTTTGTTTCTATAGCAGCAAGGCCTGAAGTAAGCAATTTAAATCCTCCGGTCAGCATATAAGCAAAATGTACACTGCTAGGACAACAGCTTAAGTTTGGCCAATGACAATCCAGATAAGGATCACCATTAACTCCGCCCACATGAGTGATGTCACATTCTGACGTTGTTTGCATTCTGTTATTCGGCGTGAGGAAGTGCGTTGTTTGAATGAAAAACATTTTTACTTTGCAACGTAAATTTGTTCTAGTGACACTATTTTTTAAATTTTCCTTTAAAGTATTATTTCCTTACTGTTCCAGAAGGAATATAAATTTATGTCTCAAACATTACAAATTTTTCACTATATGCCTGAGTGTGTATACACACGCATGCTCACATACATATATATTTCAATATATAATTAATCATATGTGAATTATATCTATCAATATCTGTGTGTTTTATACATATAAGTATGAGTGAGTGTGTGTATGCATGTATTCATTTTTCAGAATGTCAGATTTCCTAGCAAATAGTCTACAAAGCTTTTTTCTCTTAATTTTTCCCATCTTCACATTCAGTTTTTTTTAAATAACTAAGATTAATTAATGTATTCATATTTAATATTTCTGCACACTTGATTTCTCAGTTATAAAAATGCATTTATTTAATTTTGGATAAAGTGGGATGTTAATTCCAGTAGTATATTGATTTTTAATAGTAGAATAATTTCTCTAAAGAAGATTTTGTTGTTTTTATTTTTTAATTCCTTTATAAGAAAATTAGGCTAATCTTTGGAATGGTAACAGGTAGTTTGGCGACATTTGGTAAGGCGATAAAGGTTACTAGCTAGGACTTTAGCAGTGTGCATGGATAAAGTCAAGAGTGTGCGCAATTCTGGGATTTTTTTAAGTGAAAATAGTTCGTGTACATGGATGAGCAGCTAATCTTCGTCATGATTAAGCACTTTTGTTCCATAAAAGTTCTAGCATAAGCGTAATTCGGCTAGCAGATTGTTCGAAAAAAAATGTTGAGTAAAAAAAAAAGAAAAGAATATGCCTTTACTTTTTGAAAACAAATGGCGTCCAAACAAAAACTAGCAGGTTGCTGTAGCAGGGTTGGTCGCCAAAAAATCGCCAAGTTACCATAATTCAAAGATTAACCAAAAATTACTTAATAATATTAGAAATAATTAATCTGTTACTCCTTACACATGTCTGAAATATGTTAACAGAAAATTTTCATTCAATAGCTTTTTTTATAAATTTATTTTAAGCAGTATTTTAATTTAATAAGAAACTAGTGTTGATAAGTGAATTTCCATTGCTTTCTTTATACATTTAGTTTAGAATTCAGTTTTCAGTGCATGTAATTATTTTCCTTCATGGCCCTCGAGCCCACCCAGCAGCGAGGTGGTAAAGTCGCTGAAAATGGGTAGTTCGGTCCGAGGTTTGAATCCCGTGAACGGGCTGGCTGCATGGGCGTTTTCGTGTTTTTCCCCATGTGTAACGTGTATACGAGCCAGTTTCCGTTAGAAAGTCCTCCACGAAGGCATCCCTCCCCTTAGGCAGTTAGCCCTCGAGGCTTTGCCGTAATTAAATAACCTAACCTTCATGGCCCTCCCCACACAGCCCAACAGCGGCTGAGTGGTAAAGTGACTGGAACGCTGATAGTTCGATCTGAGTTTGATTTCAGTTGGACAGGCTTGGCTGCATGACACTTACCTGGTTTTCCACATGTGTAACATGTATATGAGAGTTTTTCCCTTAGAAAATCCTCCACAAAGACATCCCTCCCACATAGACCTTGTATGCTTTCCATAATCAAACAAACTAAACCAACCTCCAAGCAAAACAGCTCCTCAAAAGAAATTCTTCATATCTGTCGAGCAAATGACATTCGTTAATGTAATAAACTGTAATCATACATACTAAATCAAACTTGGAAGTTGTTATTAATTATGCTTACAAAGTACTTAATACCAGATTTTGTTGATTAATTTGCATTTTTAGAAATAGTTGAATAAATTTCTGACCTTTAATAAATACAGTGAACCCTCTCTACGATGACCACCAGCAGTTCTACATGATTTTAATTTTGTGTAAAGCTTGTCATTTCAAAAAGATGTTCAGTACCAGAATTGTATATTGAGGAGAAGCAGTCAGTTTCAGAAGTGATCACAAAGAAAAGTTTACTGTGTTAAAATGATAATCTGTTCCTAACTTTTTTGCAGGTTTTGATTTGGTTTATGTTATTTATAGCAATTTATAGCTTGAGGGCTATCTGCCTAAGCAGAGGGATGCCTTCATGGAGGAATTTCTAAGGGAAACTGGCTTGTATACACATTACACATGGGGAAAACCATGAAAACATCCATGCAGCCAGCCTGTTTGCAGGATTCAAACCTCAGACCGAACTACCAGTGTTCAGCGACTTAACCGCTTGATGCTGGTGGGCCCCTTTTTTTGTAGGGAAGGAAGTGTAGAACATAACATGTCTAAATAGTCCATGTTAAGATTTAATTTAGGAAATGAATAATGTTGAAGCTGAAATTAAAATTATATAAATTTGAATGTAGTGTTAATCTCAAATTTCATTTCCTGTAATGTGATTTTTTTTTTTTTTTTTTTTTTAATGTAAAGATCAAGCTCTGGTTTATTGATGTTTATAATAAACTTTAAATATAGTATGAAGTCTAATATTTGAGTATAATACTGAAAAAGGTTCGACATATGAGAAAATAAATATATGTTTTCTTCACATGTTATGGAATATTCATCCTTGACTTAAGGGAACGTGAGGTTACACAGTTTTAAATTAAAGTTAACAGAAAAATGTATGATAGTCACAAATTTGACAAAAGATCCTTTGCTCAATTGATAAAAGGCTATGGGGAACATAGATGCTAATTACAAATGTGTGCTAAATACGAGGCAATTGGCATCCACAAAAATGCAGTGTATTAATTTTAATACTGTTTTATGTTCTTACTATTATCCCTTTGACCGCCAAGTAGCATGATTTAGTGCCCTCGGTTTGGTTTGGTTTATTTAATTATGCAAAGCACTCGAGTGCTATCTACTTAACAGGAGGGATGCTTTTATTGAAGACTTTCAAAGGAAAACTGGCTCTTAAACACATTACACTTGAGGAAAACCATGAAAGCGCCCATGCATTCAGCAAAATTGGAACCCTGGGCTAAATATCTAGTATTCAGCA